CAGTTGGTTGAAAATGTTCAAAGGAGGGCCACCAGACTGGTGCCTGCACTAAGGCACCTCAACTACCCTGAGAGATTGGAGCGCCTGAACTTGCCTAGCTTATACTACAGACGGGCAAGGGGGGACCTAGTTGAGGTGTATAAGCATCTCAGGGGGCACTACTCAGTTGAGTGTCCTTACTTGGAGCTGGCGGACGCTCGCCCCACAAGGGGTCACAGCTCAAGATTGAAGAAGCCGCAAGTCCAGAAAACCGTGAGGGCAAACTTTTCGGAGTGAGAGTTGTAAACTCTTGGAACAATCTACCAGAGAGTGTTGTGACGGCACCGAGTGTGAGCTCTTTCAAGACAAGACTTGACCAACACTGGAGCGGGTTCAGGTACATTCAGGAGCCGGTGCATGCCCAGTATTTGCCAACAGTGCGTGACAGAGACGTGACCGATCGCCCGGGCGGCTAACAAGCCGATCAGTGGCGAAGAGGATAAAATAAACTAGAAAAGAAAGGAATACGAGCAGGATTTGAAAATAATTGAAAAGTCTTGTTTTGAATATGAAATACCGGCTGATATCTTGAAGTTGATTGGAACTAGCAATGTGTACGTCAGTGAACCAATCCTGCAATGAACACCAAGAGCAAGTACATCTCGAGAGGAAACGGAGGTAGAGGAATTCGATGATTCCTCTCTCATCCCGTTTTAAAGATAGGCCATTTGATGTTGATTATACATTCTTAATTACTTTTGTGACATTATGCCCACGGGTGTGTTAATTAGCTATCATTCTATCTATCTATATATTAATCAGTTTAATTGTCTATATATACACGATATATATAAAGTGGGTAACACATGCTATTATCAGTACAGTTACAATCTAGTGGGTTAGGAGTCAAATCTAGCGGGTTTTGGAGTCTCATATAGCGGGACTGTAAATTTGTAGATGGCAACACTGTCTGCTGAGAGACAGATTCTTGAGTCGTCGGGTCGAGGAGGACGGAGGAGGAACTGCTCCACAATCGCGTCGGTTAGTTCCACGTCGGCAGTGATGGATGGACCGAAAAATTTATCTGCTAAGACTACTTTAACCTCAGAAGTAAGGTAAGTATAACTTTTTACCTATTATCTTTCTTGATTGGCCAGATGTGGGGAGTTTATGTGGGTCAATTGGAGGCTGGCACAGTGTAATTAGACGCGGTGTCGTTATACAGTTTGTGAACGTCCAGGGAAAATTTTATTATTTATTAATTTTACAATCAATAACTTGTAGGATATAAAGTGATACGTTGATAATGTTTAATAGGTTGATTTACTAGTGTTGTGTAAACGGCTTCGTGAGGTAACAACCGCTTAGCGTCGTTAACCATTACAAGGATAGTTTACGACCCAGCCAAGTAGTTAGATCTGTTTTTCCATTATGTATTGCATTTAAAGTCTCCAGAGTGACTTAATTTAAGAACTTTAGCGACCCTTCGTCAAATAAAAGCCCACCATTAACTTTTTAACTAAATATGTAAGGTGGGGGGAGGGTCAGGAATTCGCGTTTTCTGTTGTCGAAAGTTGTGGCATTTTGTTCCTGGTGAAGTAGTGTGGGACTTATAGACTATGTCCACTAACCTCTTCACCACGAGGACGCCACTTTTAATATTATATTTAGTTAACGCCAGACGATGTTATATATTTCACAAGGGAGCCCAAAATTGGTCTCGGGATCATGGCTAACGAGACCACAGCTGCGCCGGTCTTCGAGGTCCAGTGTGTCCCGTTCATAATCTGGCCAAGACAAACGAGGGTGTTGCAAATTGAGGCTAAGATGTTGCCCTCCCAATGACGACACGCGGAGGCCAATTTATTAACTCAAGTTTGTAATTTAAGGGTGATCGTGATTATCCACTCCTCAATAAATTCTATTTAATAGCTTCTGTCGCCTGAGTTACGTCACAAGTGTTTGTTTAATGGTGGAACGATAATGTAAACGTGTCCCCGCGTATAAACTGCTAAATAAACTGAGTTAGAGAAGATGACGGACTTATGATTCTTCAGTCACGGCTTTATGTAGAGAAATATGCAAAATTACATTGTTTGCCGCGAGCATCAGTCTTTGGCAGGCAGGGTAGGATAGTCAGGTATAGTGCTTAAGCTAATGAACGGGATGCAACCTCGTGATGAAATGCTTCCTCCCTCCCCTCCGAAAAGTAAGTTGTCCGTAACTGTTATATCACTCGATACTTCAATAGTGCCGAGTAAATGGAAATTCATTTTAAGACGCAAAATGTTCATGATATTGTTAGGTGGTAAAAAAGATTTGGTTGGGACTCAACTCGTGTAGGTTAGTTTATTGTGATCCAAAATGTTCTAGGTGTGGATATCTTGGGCACAGATGGCCGTACAGTACTGTATATTGGGAAAAAATCGCAGTCACTTGTTTAAACCTTCCTCTGGTCTTGTTGGGGTACACACGATGGTGATTGTGGTGACTGTAGTAATAAATGATGACAGTAGTGATGGTAATATATGCATTGGGAAGGTTTGATAATATGGAGAAGGTTTTAAGAGGTTTGATGGGAGGTTTATTAAGTTAGAAAGTTTGTATTTTGGCTTCAGGACCAACATTTAGATTTTACTTTTATCCTTTTCACCACTGATAGGCTCGCTAGCCCCTTGGGTGGTCGGTCACGTCTCTGTTGCACACTGTTGGCAAGTGCTGGGCATGCACCGGCTCCTGAATGTAACTGAACCTGCTCCAGTGTTGGTCAAGTCTTGTCTTGAAAGAGCTCACACTCGGTGCCGTCACAACACTCTCTGGTAGATTGTTCCAAGAGTTTACAACTCTCACTCCGAAAAAGTTTGCCCTCACGGTTTTCTGGACTTGCGGCTTCTTCAATCTTGAGCTGTGACCCCTTGTGGGGCAAGCGTCCGCCAGCTCCAAGTAAGAACACTCAACTGAGTAGTGCCCCCTGAGATGCTTATACACCTCAACTAGGTCCCCCCTTGCCCGTCTGTAGTATAAGCTAGCCAAGTTCAGGTGCTCCAATCTCTCAGGGTAGCTGAGGTGCCGAAGTGCAGGCACCAGTCTGGTGGCCCTCCTTTGAACATTTTCAACCAACTGACAGTCCCTAGCATATCTCGGGACCAGATGGGGTGACAATACTCCAGATGGGGAAGCACTTCACTCCTGAAGATCGCCGAGGGACGGACCGTCTAGATATCTGAACGACCTTCTTATAAGACCCAATAATTTATTTGCCTGATTTACCTTCTTCTCGCAATGGCCCGAGAACTTCAGCTCATTGTCAACATACACACCTAGGTCCTTCTCACACAGTCTCAACTAGTGCAGTTTCTTCATCCCATTGGGACATATGATACGCCTCCTTACCGTTGGTACGCCCCAGGTGCATCCTCTTACACTTCGTGACATTGAATCTCGGCAGCCATTTCTTCGACCATTCCTGGAGCCCACAGAGGTCCTTCTGCAGCTCTTCACAGTCCGCTTGGTTCTTAATTTCCCGAAATAACTTGGCGTCATCGGCAAACATTTGTATGGAGGAGTGTACAACGTCAGGCATGTCATTTATGAAACAAACAAACACAGCTGGCCCAATACACTGCCCTGTGGTACCCCGCTTGCGACAGGTACAGGTGACGATTTCGTGCCATTAATCACCACACACTGCTTGCGGTCATGTAGAAAGTCTTCTATCCACGCGAGGACATTTCCCCGAATTCCGTACCATTGGAGCCAATAGTTGCCAACACTGTAACAGAGCCAGTCACTACTAGCCATCAATGTGTAACTGAACCAATCCACGCCTAATACTTGCCAATAGTGTGTAACAGCCAGTTCTTGTCAACACGGTATAACAGAGGATAAAGTAAAGTATAACAACATTTTATAATAATGATTTTCTAACAATAAACAAGCAGAATTCCATGTACTATAAATACAATTAATTTAAGGGAGTTAAATTTGTGAGTGGAATGGACCAGTTTAAATGTTCGCTGGTACAGTTTAAAGTCCGCTATGAATGACGTAGTAAGTTTAAAAGGCCGTGGTTATATTACTGCTAGTGTTATGCCGAGGAATACTTATTGGAGGTTTGTTTAATGTCCGTGACATTAATGCAGTAGACGTATTTTTCAGACGTGATAAGAGGAGTCGTGGCCCTGATGGATCACCGCTTTAACTGTTGACTATTACTTCCAGCTCACCAATATTTACTATTATGTTGCATTAGTTAACCCTGACTGACTGACTGACTGACTTAAGCAATGATATTTACCTCCTTGTTGTGGTACTTTACTGAGGGCTCGTCACTGCTAATGTGTACCATTATTATATCTCTACATGTGGTAGGTCTGATATATACATGTGGCAGGTCTGATATATCTATACCACATGTGGCAGGTCTGATATATCTATACTACATGTGGCAGGTCTGATATATCTATACTACATGTGGCAGGTCTGATATATCTATACTACATGTGGCAGGTCTGATATATCTATACTACATGTGGCAGGTCTGATATATCTATACTACATGTGGCAGGTCTGATATATCTATACTACATGTGGCAGGTCTGATATATCTATACTACATGTGGCAGGTCTGATAAATCTATACTACATGTGGCAGGTCTGATATATTTATACTACATGTGGCAGGTCTGATATAGCTATACTACATGTGGCAGGTCTGATATATACATGAGGAAGGTCTGATATATACATGAAGGTCTGATATATACATGTGGCAGGTCTGATATATACATGAGGAAGGTCTGATAAGGTCTTCCCATATTGGTTCAGGCATCAGAGGCTGGAACAGTGATGATAGATGTGGTTTACAGAGTTGTGGCCAAAACATGCCTAATATATTTGAGGCTACTGCTTATTGTTTTTACCTTTTATCCTTAATTACCTGTGATTATTTTTCCTAACAGGTCGTCTTTGCTGATCACCTTAAAATATCCCCGGTCAGCTGCTTAAACATGAAGGTATAATGTATGAGAACACTGTTGCCACTAGGACGAGTTAAGATTTTGTTCATTTTTTCCACAGTTGTTCTTAACATTATTGTAAGTATTTTAAGAGGCAACATTTACTAGAACCTGACCTAACCAACCAAATAAACCTACCTATCTTACCTAACTTCCTAGCCAGAGGGCAGACCCCCTGCCATATTAAACAGAAAGTACTTATTTTAATATCTGGTACCAATTAAAGCTACTTTGTTGAAGCGTTATGGAGTACAGGTAATTTACATTTTTTTGTGGACATTAGAGTACGCTCGGACCGAGTGGGTCGGTCGTAGACAGTCGACAGGCGGTGGCTCGGACATCATTTTAGTCATATGATCAGTTTTTCACTCTTGCCCCACAATTTCTCTCACCCTTCATGCCCTGTCCACTACAGGTGACTTATGTTCGTAGAGAAAACTAAAAATAATTAAAATAAAAAGCGGTCTACTTATAATTAAAGTAAAAAGTTGTACTGTACTTACTATGTGTGTAATAAACCAGACCTAACTCCTGGTGGCAGTTTCCTCAGATTACCAACATGAACCATAATGTTGACTTAACTCCTGATTTCATTATAGGTTTAATGTTGTTGTTTCCTTTTGGGTTTTTCTTTCTCGTTTTGTTTTACCGTAGTTGTCATTTTAATTGTTTTCAACTTTTTACCATTAATTATCTCTGGTGCCATGTTACAGGTCTTACTCATTGTTTTCAGGTTTGTTACGGTCTTTATTAATGTTTTTTAGGGTTATGTTACAGGTCTTAATTATTCATGTTTTCAAGGTTATGTTACAGGTCTTAATTAATGTTTTTTAGGGTTATGTTACAGGTCTTAATTATGTTGTCAAGTAATCTTATTTTTGTATTTACTTTCTTACAGGTTTTTTTCATATTGCAATATTATTCTTTCCAATCTTTCAACAGCTTAGTCACTCCACCATTGAACTGTTGTATTCAGTTCACACCATTTTGACTCGTACAGGCCTACCAAACCGTGCAAAATTACGAGATGAATTATATGAAACTATGCGACCGGTGCGATCCATCTACTAAATGTATGAGCGGACTCTGACAATACGTATTGCATCGACTCGTCTTAAACCGTGCGAAAGATCCGTGTGGATGTAATATGATCCGCTTGCCCTCCGCTACATAACTAATTATGCAGTTGTTTGTTGGCTTCTTACCAGGTCAAGTGGTGCACTGTGCTGCTGTAGTTTCAGGAATGTTTAACAGGCACCCTGCTACTGTGCATTACCAGCATGATTACAGTACTGTAGTAGTTTAATTCATTGTTATATTTTGTTATATTTTGTATGAGTAAACTGCTGTATTTAGTATGTATACAGGCTGCATTGTACATTATTGTATTAAATGTATTTACCACAATGTATAGTGTATTGTAGGACCATCTTAGCATGTGTAAGTTGACCTTACTTAATACAGTATTGTAGTTTTATTATTTGTAGTGTTGACAATTTGTACCATTTAATAATGTAGCAGTAGTTGTGTCGGTGCTTGTCAGTACTTCTCAACAGTAACAGCCGTGACCGACCGCCCAAGCAGCTAACGAGCCGATCAATGGTGAAGAGGATAAAGGTAAACCAGGTGCTGTATGTCTGGAGCTTGTCTGTGTGGTAAATGTTATGTTTGGGTTGGTGTACAGTACAGGCTATGTTGTGTGACCAAGAGATTAAGGTCTACAAATGAATGGCTGTTGTCTCTTATGTGGTCTTTATATTTTAAAGTTAAAGTTATCTATAAATATCTAACATAAGACCTACAGTACAGGTATTAAGTTAATATTCCATTACAGAAGATGACCCCCTGGATGACTGTGCCCTGCAAGAAACACAGGCAGCCAGGGCTCCCACTACATCAATACCTGGATTAATCACAAAATGGTGATAAGTAAATGTTTCTTTTTATATTAAAATCTAAAATCTTGAGAACCCAAAAAAATGAAATAAAACAAATAATTCACATTACAACAGCTGTGTACATAAGGGTCCAGTCAGAATTTTTTTTGGGGGGGGGGACATTTTATTGTTTTAAATTTATTATTGACTCATTTTTGATGGATTTTAGCTCGAGTGTGTCTACTAATCCTATAGTTTGGCCGCCATCTTGGAAAATGAAGGTGAATATATACATGTACTGCCTGAGGTCCTCTAGACTCATGGTGACTGTTTCATCACTGGTTAAGACTGTTTCATAGCTGAATGATTCGTGTCTACGGTCCTTCTTGCTTGGAGTGTGTTTGAACAGAGGGTTCCAAATCTGATGCTGGTGTTGGGTTTGGAGCAATCTTCTAATAAGGCTGGGAGTTTTACTATCTTTTATTCCAAAGCAGCACTGTCAGGTCAGCCATCCTTGCCTCTGGCAGCTACAATGGAACAATTTATCTGTTCCCAAGCTATTGCCAGATTACAAAAAAGATTATCTGTGTAAACCTCCTTGGATGCCCTGCCACTGAGGCTGCTGTTACCCATCTGTTGTGTACACTCACCCCACCCACAGTTTCCTTATGGCCAGAGGACCACAGCCCTATTGTGATGACTGCCTGATAGTGTCCGTCATGGGGACTTGAGACATTTTCTGACCAAGTGCTGACAGGAGGATGGTTCCTTCTCCATCTCAAAGGTTCTCAGTGGTAAGTTCAGCACCTGATGGTGGACTTCTTATATTCTTAGTTGCAATAAATGTACTTGACCCCTTATAATTGTAAATAAATACAGTACAGGATTTTATATTTTAATATTTATATTTACTTAAATATCATTTTTGGCTTCAAATGGCCACAGGCTACGACAGCAGTTATTTTACCCAATCAATCAACTGCCATTGTTGCAAAGGTTTTCCCTTGCAATGTTTTATTTGGACTGTACTGTATATGGATTAGTCTTGATAAGAGCCAGAACATTTTCAGCCAAATGTTTCCCTTTGGTCATGAGCTGTAAGAAGACTCCTCCATGTACTTCCTCTGATGCTGGTTGTCCTGTACATGAGGGAAGTACTGGCCCACTTCTAGCCCAAGAGTTTGTGTTCTACTCTTCTACAAGTTGAAGGTCTGCATCAATAAGTTGTTGTTCCCTCAGGCACATAACTGGTCTACTAATTGTATTACTGACTACCAGGGATAAACTCTGGTAAACCTAACACACACTCACTCATGTTCTTGAATGGTTTGTTTGATCACTTGATCTGGTCAAGTTTACTTTAGCTCTTGCCACTCGGTGAAAAGGAATATATTCTTGACATGAGCCATATCTTGAGCCAGTGTCTTCCGGTAATAGTTGGACAGTTATTACCACATGCTGCCATGAGTGGAAGCAACTGTAGGAATGGTTGCCAGACAACAATACTGGAGTGCTGGCAGAGGATCTAATAAGGCCAGGACTGTGTTCAGTGAAGTCTGATCGAGATGTCTTCAAATACATCCTCCACAAATTACTTTAATTCTTTAGATGCTCTGAACTTATCATACTGTTCTTGAGTTATTTCTAAGTGTTTCGGATCATTAGTGGACGGGATTGTTTGCAGTGTACAGTAGTCCTTAACTTACGGAAGAAAATTTATTGCAATACTTTATTTTTGTCTTTTTGACCACCATTTTCCTAGACGTCCAAATGACAGGACTAGAAAAGATCCTCCCAAGGTAACATTCATCACGTCATTAATAAATTTCAAACCATAAAAGTCCCCTAAATATACACACAAGTCTCCCTATATTCCTGACCAAACACTAAACTCTTGACCTCATTACAGATGCTGTATCCTGAGATGCTGAACCATAGACTCAACCTTACCAGAAGCAGGTCAGTAGTTTATATGATCTTGTTCTCTTAGAATAAATAAAGGTGATGCCATTTTGACTAAAAGGTCCATTTAGCTTAGGTTATGAAGTGTGGTCATGAATTTGTACAGTAACTTAAGTCCTATTAACAAAATAATCTTATTTAAGCCAGAGTTGGACATGATACTGAGTTTATCACATTATTTGATCAAATGAATTCATGAAAAATGTAAAGGCCTTAAAGATATTGGTGAAGTTTGTATTTTGTGCTGTGGTACTTGAGACTTGGTCACTTTAGTTAGACTGGGAGAGGTAGTTTGATATAAACCGTGTGTGTGTGTGGTCATTATTTGTACATTTTATTTGTATTTATGCTGTACAGTATACTCTTGATTTAACAGAATCCGACATAACGAACTTTAGATTTAGCGGATGGAATGTTTTCCTTAATTTTGCACCCGACTTGGTGAACTAGTTTTCTGAATCGAGATTAATTCCGTTAATGCACTCACACCTACGGAGACACCTCGGACACATACCGTATTTTTCGGCTTGAAAGATGCACTTTTTGACAAATATATACCTTTAAAATTACCATGCGTCTTCCAGGGCGCTAGTTGATAGTTGAAGAGGTTTTCTTATGGTCAACTGAAGTCAGCCCCTTACAAAGACTTACTTCATTACAGTACTTAACAATTACAAGTATTCTCTATACAGTACTATTGATTTAACTAATATTGTTGATATATTGCAAAAAAAATAAAATAAACCTTTGCTGCTGTGCGTTTTGTTTACTAATGGCAGTGGTGCGGCAGCGCCATCTATTGAGGAATTGCTAAAGGCTGTCTGCTGGTCTCAAAGTGCAGGAATGTTTATTTCTTCATACGTAGGCTCTCGTACTTGGACACCTATTTACAGTAGGCTCTCATATTTGGACACCCATTTAGACTAAAAACCTTGTGAAATTAAAATCTTCCAAATTTAAATACAACTTCCTATGGAGAAAATTTGAGTGGTACTTTTGATGTTTGGCTAAATTTTGCCTTAATTACCCTACAGTACTTTTTTGGGTGAATTACTACCTGTAATAAAGCAACATCCTAATAAACCAGGATTTGAAGATGAACTAAATGCTTTTGACTATTTTACTGGACATGATATTTAGAGATTTACAGTTTTGTCATTTTTATTGTTTGCCGACCAAATTGTTTTTAAACTGATTTTTACCGAGTTTTTTTTACTTTTTTTTGTTTTTGTTTTAAAGATCTTTTTTTATTTAGTCGTTGATATACATGTTTACATTTGCTTACCTTCTACTGTTGGAAAATATTTCCCGTCGTTGTCATACCGACAAAAACGAGAAAGAATGTAAACAACAGCCCGCTAGATGCGGAGGTGACCAGGTGTATAAAATGAGTGCTGTATTAAAGATTTCACCTTCTTATACAGATTTATTTTTTAAATTGATGAAAATGTTGACTGATAAGCAGTTCTAAGTGACGATATTCAAAGAGGTGTGTGTACTTGTGCCAAAAGGGCTGTATATCAAGCAAGGTTTCACTGTTGTCCGTTAGTAAGTACAGTATAAAAAGTTTTTTCCGAGAATTACATTTCCAAAATCAGGGTGCGTCTTCAAGGCCGAAAAATGCGGTATGTACATAGAAACATTGAACTGGCCCTTTAACCGTTGATTCCTTCTGGGTTAATGAGGCTGGAACATGTAAAAGTATACAGTGGTCCCTCGGTTAACGAACGGTTTGATTAACGAAATTTCGGTTAACGAATTACCTCCCATAAGGACCTTCAATTCAGTTAACGAACAAAACTTCGATTAACGAAATCCTTACGAACATCACGTTTTGTTGAGCATCAGCTGATGGGCTAGTCTGCCAATTCAGTAATCTGTTCTGTTTAGATTCGTTTTCAGTGGAGTAAATATCAAGAAAGTTGTGCTCTTTTAATATTTTTGCATATTTTATATTAAAATTATTAGTCATTTTAACATTTATTTAACATATTGATAATATATGCAGTACAGAGAACTAGTTTTTTGTGCGCCTATCAGACGCTTGACTAAGCCACCCGGCGTCAGTTGGGCTTTGTTGACAGTGGAGTGAACATCTATTTTGTTGGTATCTTGAATATTTTTGCATTTTTACATTAAAATTATTGGTCATTCTGAAATTTAGTTAACATATTGATAATATATAGCACAGTGCAGTGTTGATTTAAATAAAATTACCTTGAATTACACCAAGTGACCATAAAATTTTAGTGGTGAAATGACGGCATCAAGGATGGGTCCCCTGAGAGGCGATTTCTCCTCCATCCCCACTTCCTTCTCTTCTCCCTTCTCCTCCACCCCCACTTCCTTCTCTTCTCCCTTCTCCTCCACCCCCACTAATAATTCCCATCATCTTCATCAACCAGGAACCTTCTACATACACACCTCAAACTACGTGTACTTTACTGCATTTTTTTTACTTTGTATGTTCTTTTCTTTGAGCTGGAACGAATTGCGTTCGTTAACCGAGGGACCACTGTATGGGGTTTTAGTAACGAAAGCCAATTGTCTGTTCTCTATGTAATAGCCCCTGTCGAATAGGCAGAAGCATTATATAAATGGGTTAATTACATTTGAATTATATACTCTTATCATCCCCTGTAACTTAACACTGGCTATGAGGTGACATGTTCAGAGCACGTGATAAGGTGTGCCCACGGGAAGCTGCGTCACATTATGCCGAGTTAAGGCATTAAGTAGCCGGCTCTCTGGCCACCTGAAGCGGGCAGTAGTTTGATATCCTTGACTAGAGGAAGACGTTATTTGAGAGCCATCGCGGATGGTTCCGTCTTCCGTCGAGGGAGGACGACGTACATATTCCGTTCTCCCTCTATGGGTCACTACTCATTAGCATTGTTGCTCAATGCCTCACACAGATCGGACATATTTTAGAAGGTCTATTTAACATAGCCTCCGTCCTTCTCTTAACACTCGCAGTTACAATGATAAGTTACGGTGATCTACTCTTTGGAACTGTATCCTCAATAGTTCCTAAATGAAAGGATAACAGACAATTGGTTTAGTTGCCAAAAACCCTCTATAATATAAATGTTCAGGCCTCATTAACCTAGACAGACTCAGCAGTTAAATGGCCTAGAACATCTATTTATTGAGGAACTATCTCATATACAGATCCAAGTGTATATATCACTAACTTAATCACTGTAGCTATGAGTGTTAAGATGAGGACGTAGGCTCTATTAAAGAGCTCTTTAAATACGTCCGGTTGGTGTGAGATGTTGAGTGACAATCCCTATAATCCCATCGAGGGAGAACGGTAGTATACTGTAAGTCCTCCCTCGAGGGAAGATGGAACCATCCACGATGGCTCTCAATAACGTCTTCCTCTAGTGAGTGATGATGAACCACTGCCGCAAGAGGTGGCCAGAGAGCCGGCTACTTAATGCCTTAGCTCAGCACTAATAGACACGACCTCCTGTGGGCACACCTTATCACGTGCTCTGAACATGTCACCTCATGGTGGAAAGTTAGAGGATGATCGGGTATATAAATCAAATGTAATTAACCCATTTATATAATACTTCAGCCTTTAAGACGGGCTATTACAACATTATTCATGGCTTACCTTAAACTTGGGGGTGCGGTGGTTGTTTAAAATGTTTAAGCACAGTACAGTAGAGCATCGATTTAAAGCAATTCAATTTAAGATTATGGATTTAAAGCGATGCCCACAATTAAGGGCAATGTTTTAATTTAAAGCGAATATTTTCTATTTTGCGTGAGTCAATCTGGCGCATCATATTTAAAATTTTGCACCAATTGTTTCTCTGGGCACGCTACACTGTCCTAAGGCCGAAGCTGTACTGTACATGTACTCAAAATAATGTACTAAATGATTACTGAAATTTTTGTCTTGTGCAAACTATAGCACGATTATATTCAAATTAATCACTATCTTATAAGAATTCCAGCAATGTAAATTATATTCTCCCTGGTCACTTCTATGACATTCATAAGCAAGAAACATTAAACTCAAGCTAAAGGACATAAATAAACAAATAAATACTTCACTAGACCTTCAGTGCCAATTATCAAACATGTCACTGTCACTTCCCAGCAAGAGTTTGGTGCTTTAGGCTTAAAGTTTTTATCTTATATAATGTCAGACTAAAGTTAGGAGAATATAATTTGTATTGCTGGAATCCTTGCAAGATAGCAAATAATGTGGTTATAAACAGTCATGTATTTTGCACAAGATAAAATTTTTTGGTCTCTAATAAAATTCTTAAATTCGAACTAAAATTTGTATGTGCTATAGCATGTTTATATTCAAATTAATCACTATCTTATCAGAATTCCAGCAATGTTAATTATATTCTCCCAAGTCAGTTCAGTGACATTTTAGAAGAGAAAAACTTTGTCACTCATAAGGACAGATAAATAAATAAACACTAGACCTTGGTATCAACTGTCAAACATATCACTGTACCTCCTTCCCCTCCCCCATCTTCCCAGCCAGTAAACAGACCATTTTGCATCCCTTAATTTTAGCTGTGTTGATTTATGAGTGTTTGTTTTAACAATACAGGTTGTACTCCTCTAGTCCGGCATTCTGTGGTCCGGTAACTCCTGTGGTCCGGAACGATTTTGGTTTGTCCAATAGGTAGATGGGCAGCTTTTTTTTTTTTTTTTTTACTTATCTGAATTATTATTATTACAGTAGTATTAAATTTTTGCCCCTCAGACCCCAATGTGGGTCAGTGACCTATGCCCGGGTGGGCTAACCCCCGTAAAAAACAACAACAACAAAGCCTCGGGAAATTAAGGTTTGTTTACATCCGGCAGTTCGGCTGCTCTCTCTCTCTCTCTCTCTCTCTCTCTCTCTCTGCTTGTCTATACAGAGTACAACATGTGCGCACTTGCATACGCGCAGTCTCACTTTTTTTACCATTAATGGTTAGCTACTTATATTGTTCCATTTATTAACATTAAATAACATTACAGGTACTTCAAACAACCATATTAATTTTTTACATTAATTTTACTACAGCTACAATCAGGGTCTTATTTTCTTCAGTTTTATATGTAGAACCAATCAGTCACTGGTTTTGTAAGCTTTAACAAAAACAATGCCGGCAGCCGTCTCATCTCATCGTGTGTTTTAATATTCCACGTATTATTAATAAATTGTATTGTTAATTTTGCACACACACACACTAATTCAATAAAAACAATTTCAGAAACATTAATTAAAATATATATGAACAGTAAATAAGTGTTGCTTTCATATTCTTATGTAAAGTAATGACGATATGTTTTCACGTGTGCGCACTTGCATACGCGATCTCTCTTTTTCTTTACCATTATCGTTAGCTACTTCTATTGTTCCATTTATTAACATTAAATAACATTTCTTAAAACAGCCATATTAATTTTTTACATTAATTTTACTACAGCTACAACCAGGGTCTTGTTTTCTTCAGTTTTATATGTAGAACCAGTCAGTCACTGGTTTTGTAATCGACGAAAACAATGCTCTGTCATTTCCTCATTTGTTTTAAAATTCTACGTATTATTAATGAATTGTATGGATCATTTTGCACACATAAACATTAATTCAATAAAAACAATAATGAATCTTTTGTACATAAGAGAAATGACGCTGTTTTCACTATTATGCACTTCGTCTGCACGTTGGCGGGCCGTTCAAACCCGTCGAAATTCAAGTTTCCGCCGTCAAAATTTTTATTTATTTATTTTTTTGTTCCAATAAAATACGTTGAATTAAAACTCGCGAAATTTGAAAGCTACTATACGACATTTAACCCTTCAATATGTCTTCAAAGAGACCGCGATGCAGAGAAAGTGGTTCTAGTGCTTCCAAGCATAAGCACAAGTCACTATCTATCCAGGA